CTTAGTCAGTTGGAGTCCGAAAACCACCAGAAAGCATTTTTTACTCACACGGTGCCATGTGCTTCCATCGGCCGTCCTGTACGGCAAGTATAAAAGGATACCATTGATGGAAAGACTCTGTCCCTGCAGCTCAGGAGAGGTGGAGACTGTGGATCAGTGTCGGGTTCCAGATTCTGTTCCAGCCGGTACGGTTGGAACGGGCCCGGCGGCATCCACACGGATGCATGCGGCGTGTGTGCATGCGCATGCAGCATGCACATGCATCTTAGCGCCTCTGCGATACTCCAGCTGCTCAGCGGAGTGTTGTGTAGGTACTGTATGCGCCGTGCGCGTAAGCACCGAAGACTTAAAAGACCGGTAAGGAGCTCGGGCTGGCGAGTGGGCCGCTCCACAGCACTGTACCAGAACAGTATCTGGGCAGGCTCTGGTATGCCCGTACCTGGGCGTACCACCTGCAACCCACCACTGCTGTGGATCACATACTCCTTAGATGCCCCTTTTACAAACAGATTAGGAAAAAATCATATTCTGCCAATAACTGCTAGGTATCCTGGCTGTTCTGATACCACCTACTTCAGAGGCTGCTTAAGGATGAACAGTCTATAACTACCGTGCAGATGGCCAGATTCTGCGCAGCAGCACTGGGGATTCATCACAAATGTGTCTTCTCCACCATAGTTACGTTATATAACAAATGTGGGAAACCTTTTGCACTGCTTAGTCTTTTCCCTTTTAGTGTTGAACCTACAACGGGCCATACAGTTTATTGATTGTAATTATAGTATAGTTAAAAGGTAAAGGTTCCTCTCGCACATATGTGCTAGTTGTTCCCGACTCTAGGTGGTGAAGGGCTCATCTCCGTTTCAAAACTGAAGAGCCAGCGCTGTCCGAAGACGTCCCCGTGGTCATGTGGCCGGCATGACTAAATGCCAAAGGCACACAGAACGCTGTTATCTTCCCACTATTTTACCACTTGCATTTTTACATGCTTTTGAACTGCTAGGTTGGCAGAAGCTGGGACAAGTAATGGGAGCTCACTCAGTTACGTGACGCTAGGGATTCGAACTGCCGAACTGCCGAACTGCCGACCTTTCTGATCGGCAAGCTCAACATCTTAGCCACTGAGCCATCGCTTCCCTCTCAGTAGTATAGTCAGACCACATATAATTGACAGGCTGGATTTTATTATAGATTTTAGTTGTCATTTATTATTTTATACTAGAATTTTTGTATACAATACAATACAATAGCAGAGTTGGAAAGGACTTTGGAGGTCTTCTAGTCCAACCCCCTGCCTAGGCAGGAAACTTTATACCATTTCAGACAAATGGCTATCCAACATCTTCTCAAAGACTTCCAGTGTTGGGGCATTCACAACTTCTGGAGGCAAGCTGTTCCACTGGTTAATTCTTCTAACTGCCAGGAAATTTCTCCTCAATTTTAAGTTGCTTCTCTCTTTGATTAGCTTTCATCCATTGCTTCTTGTCCTGCCTTCTGGTGCTTTGGGGAATAGCTTGACTCCCTCTTCTTTGTGGCAGCCCCTGAGATATTGGAAGACTGCTATGTCTCCCCTTTTCATTAAACAACCATTCTTATATATTTACTGAGCATTTTTATTTGTTCTGGTTTCTGATCTAAGACTGTAATAAATTGATTGATCATAAGTCTCCCCCCCTCCCCAAAAATCATAATATGATTTGATGTTTGGTGAACATATCCATTGGGTTCACACAATGCTTCAAGTCATTATGCCATTGGTGTGAACCCTAAACCATCATCAAACTGCCGCTTGCATTATTAACCAGGGCAGTAGGCTTCTGAACTTTGAGATCTCCAGGTGTGCTACACTTTCATTCCAGAATCCCCAACCAGAGATGTTCAGTAGGTGTGATGGAGGGTCCACCAGCAAAGGGGAAAGATTGTGCCAGCTCAGAACTTTGCCATATAGAGACCTGGATCAGGCAATGGTGTATTTGCAAGCTGGAAAGGAGAAGTGGGTTCAGAATAACCAAATCCTTGAATCTTTCAGGGTGTATTTATCTTAGGATGTGATAGCTTTTGTTTGACAAGATTCTGTTTACAGTATTGGGCGTAAGCAAATAAAGGATTGGATTCAGTTGGATCTCACTGTCTCGTCTCGTGGCTGGGGTATTACAATAGGACACTTAATACAGGTACATTTGAGTAAGGGAGGCTAATCAGGGGTGAAAGGCTACCAGTTCGGACCTCTTCGCCTGAACCGGTAGTAAAAAATTGCTACCGGTTCAGGTGAACCGGTATTTCTGTCGATCAGCTGTGACACGTGATTTATATTAGCTAGAAAGCAAAATTTCCAAAGCGGATCCCCCCCCCCCGGTCGCTATTCTACATACCTTTGCAGGACCCACTTGGTAACAGGCTCCGCCCACCTGCCCGGATGTCATCATGTCCGCTTTTGATGCTCTGTACATGTGTGGAAGGTCCTGCCACATGCACAGAGGTGGCATGTGGAAGCGGAACAAACGTGTGTATGTACGCTTGCTCACATTTGCAAACTGGTAGCAAAGGTAAGTAGACTTCATCCCTGAGGCTAATAGGCGAAATGTGTAAGTATGTAAAGGTAAAGATTTCCACTGTCCAGTTGTGTCCACGTTTAGTGGCTGGTGCTCATCTCTGTTTCTTAGCTGAAAGAGCCAGCATTGTCTGAAGATGCTTCTTTGTTTTTTTATTTTTTTTATTTAATTTAAAACAAACACAATCCTTCTTTACATGCTGTAGAAAGTGTATCAGTTGGTTACAAAAAGACTTTCATGCATCTCTTCAACAGTCAACAAACATACTTCATATTAATTCAAGAATTTTAACTCAAATATTTAAACATGTCACCAACATCATATCTCCATTTTCATTTGACTATAATAGCAATAGTAATAGTTAGGCTTATATACCGCTTCATAGGGCTTTCAGCCCTCTCTAAGCGGTTTACAGAGTCAGCATATTGCCCCCAACAATCTGGGTCCTCAT